AGAGCAAGAAATGATCTTTATCGTCTTTCTTCTTCTTTTCATTTGAATAGGACTTCAATTTTACTAATAGCGCATTTTGCGACCCTAAGTGCTAAGGATACTTTAGAGCAAGCTATGAATCTAGTAGAGATAGACTATGTTGTATTTTTTTGTAACTAATTTACCTGAATCCTATAGGGTTAGCTGTGTTTTTAATTCTTTAATAAGAATTTGTTATTTTTTCCTTTTTCATGGACTTTCTATCATCACTCGGTAAGAACTTAACATCCATTATGATCTAATTGTCAAACCAGATCCAATGTTCCTTATCCTTTAGAACGAACTTGAGTATTCTTTAAAGTTGGCTTAAATTTTCTATCTATATGTTATCTTAATTTGCAAAGTTGTTTTGTCTTTTGCATTTGGGCAAGAGAGACTTTTGTACTTAGGTAAAATGGCTATGATTTGAAAAAAGAAAATGCAATTTCATACTTTAGATTAGGTTGGTCTAAGTTTTTAAAAGAGTGTGTGAGGCCTTTATATATAAGTAAATCAAGAAAAACCTTTTTAGATATTTAGGAAAACATTATTGTGATATCTAATGAACCATGATTCTTAGAGAGTTGAGGTCATTGGTTTCTTTAGGATTATGACCCACAGGAATATGGTCTTGGACTATTTTTAAAGGAGATATGGTCATCTGTTTCATAAGAAATATGGCTTTAAATTTTTCCAAAAGAGTTATAATCATCTATTTCTTGAGGAAGATGGTCCTGACATGTGATCATCTATTTTTTATGGAATATGACATTGGATTCTTATCTTGAAAGAAATGTGGTTACCCATTTCTTGAGGAATATGGTCATGAATTGTACGTGTGGCTCATAATATGGTTGTTTGTTTCCTAAGAAATAACTTGATTTGTATCGCTAACTCATAATATGATTGTCTGATTCCTGAGGAATATGGAATCATATTTTTTCTTTGTGGCTATTTGTTTTTAAGGAATATAGTCTTAGATTCTTTTTTTAGAGGAATATAGTCTTAGATTCTTTTTTTTAGAGGAAATAAGGCTATTTGTTCCTTAAGGAATATGGCTTCGGCTTGTAATGTTCAGTTCCTGAGCAATATGGCCTTGAATTATTCTTTTGGAGGAAATGTTGACGTCCATTTCCTAAACAATATGGCTGTGAACTTTACTTCTATCTCATAATGTAGTTGACTATTATATAAGAAATATGCTCGTGAACTTAGGTGAAGGTATTCAAAGTGTGGGAGATATCTTTATTGATGCCATATTTACATTTTGTTTACAAAAAATCTAAAAAAAAAACTTGTTCAGTAACATGTTACATTACACCTAGAACATCAGACATGTGTAGCAAATTTTTTAAGTCATACCATTGAACCTTCAACATCTTTTTCCCTTAGGTAGCTTTTCTTTGCTTTCTAACAATATGGTCTTCTTTCCCTTAACGGAGGATGAAGCACATTTTTAGAAAATTAGCTGACTACCTCTAACCGTACCAATTTCACTTTTAGTCGAGAACTTTCGAGGCAAATATCTCATATTGTAGTATTTATTTCATATAGAAGTGATCTTTTAAAGATGGCATTTTACTCCGAACTCATTTTTATGACCATAAAGATGGGGTGTATGGTAATGCTATGAGAGGAAGTACCCATGATGACTAGGATTTGTATGACTCATTCTATAGGCAATTGTCCATTTTTTATTCCTATTAATGAGGTCTTTATTGGTTGGAATTTGGAAAGGTCGATCTTCATCAAGTCAAAGACTTCATGGGATAGGATATTTACAACACTCCTGTCGTCCACCAGGATAGGATGGACATTATTGTTGGAGAAAATGTCAAAGATGACTAGGGCATCATCATGAAAGCAGATCGTACCTTTTGCATCCTCTAGAGTAAACATCATTGGCTTGTACCATGACATTATAGTCGTAGTGAAAACCATCTTTTTACTTGTTTTTCCTTTTTGATTGGGTCCTCTATAAGCCCGTTGTCCTTCTAACATTGATCTTTGAGAGATCATCTTGGCAATGGTTTGGTCCTGTTTTAACCTAGTTAAGGTTTGGGCCTCCCCTCAGGAATTTCTTGAGTTATCCTTAATTAATTAGTCTTTTGATCTTTTTTTTTAAGAAAAAAAAAGCAATCATCCATGTCATGGTCATTATCTTGATGGTAATGGTAGTATTTTTTCAGACTATAAAGATGCGAGGGACCTTTTATTGAGGAGGCGATTGACATATCATTTCCTTTTAATGGTTATGAACACTTTCATTTTACTATGTTTAGTGGCATTGTTTGGAACTTAAGAAATACTAGTGGGTGCGAACATGGCCTTTAGGGTTCTTTTTAGATTGGGGTGAACTTGAGGAGATCATTTTCTCCTTGTTTTCTTTATGAGTTTTTGAAAAATAGCATGTGCTTCTCTAGCAATTATAACTTCTTCTACACGGATATGCCTCTCTATAACTTTCTTCATTCAATAGAGATTTCTATTCAAGAAAGCATAAATCTTTCTCAATGGACTGGTATTGCATACCCCTATAATAAAGGCCTTCATCGTTACAGGTTCTAGTGGCTCATCAAATTTTAGCATTTCCAAATAAAAAATGAGAGAGGTATGCTTTAGCACTTTCTCCCTCTCTTTGGGAGATAAAAAAATATTAATTTTTTTCAATCGGAATGTTGATGATGAGTAGGTAACCAGTTTGGAGATAAGATCCTCAAAACTAAGGATGGATTCGAAACCTAAGCTATTGTATTACTTTATGGCCATGCCACGAAAAATAGTGGGGAGCACTTTACAAATGACATTTGTTTCTTGTAGCACAAACTCGAGAGTTCTCCTCACATTTTGCACATGCTCTTGAAGCTTATTTGACCCATAATATGTGTCTAAGTTTATCTTTCTTGAGATGAACTCCATAGAAAGTCTATCATTTAAAATATAGGAGACAATAGGAGGAGCCTAGAGCTGGTGATTGTAATAGTTAATGTCTGATAAAAAAGAGGCGATAAACTTTTTATCCCTGTGTGATTGCTTGGATTTGAGGCTTATTAAGGAGGTATTGAGTAAGAACTGCTTCTATGGCGTCTCTTGTAGGCCTGTAGCAATCTTTATTAGGTCTATCTATGCTTCTCGTATTGTGGAGGTGACATGAATTCTCTTTCTTTTTTCTTCCTTTACGGGAGCCTTAACTCACTAGCTCTTTGTCGTGGTAGCATGAATGATTCTTTTGGGGTTCTGAAGAACGATAATGCTCCCATTCATCGCTTCTTAACTTATCATATCCTCCTCTTTCTTCCTTGACAAGATGTTGATCATGCATTTTTGTTTGAAAGAAGGATAGAGCTCCCTCTACATGTAGTACAACACGAGGTGGTACGAAAGCTTCTAGTTGTTAAATGCAAGACTGTAGTAGTAGTGCTTGTAGTTTTGACAAGGATACTAATTGAATAAGGATAGTTTTGGGAGCATATCTTCATTAAATACATGTCATTTTGTGGAGAGTATCTTCATCTTTTGAACTGTACGTTCGAGATACATTTGTGTAATGGTATTCTGGTGAGGCGATAATGAGGCCTTGACTAGTCATTTGCTTTATTTAGAGGTATAACCATGGTTGTAGTCTTTCTAAAAGCATGTAAATTACATGTGTTATCCAGACACTTCAATTGGTTTATCTATATATATAATTTAAATATCTTTAAAATGTTGATTATATAATAATCTGATTGAAAAAATACACTAAAAAAGTAAACAAAAGACATTTCATGTGTTCTTTGTTTAGTTAAGAAAATTTGAAACTCATCTCATGTGAGTTTGGAAATGAATGAACCAAAAATAATTTTATGCTTCTTATTTACATGTGCACTTTTAATAAAACATATAGCAATCAACTTGTAAACTTAGATTGATTGGCAACTGGGTTTTTTTTTTCTTTCTAATTTTATAATCTAAGCAAAGATTAAAAAAGATAATTTTTTATAAATGCACGAACCGGTATATAAATAGTCAATGTGAAAAGAAATTTTAGAATAATATTTTCTATTCTCACATAATAGTGGAACCTACCAATAATTATTATGGTAAATCACACAACTCTAAAAATACTTAATAATTCTTAAGGTTTAATGAAAAAACTTGCTCCTAAACTATTACGATTCAACAATTTCGAATCTTTACTATCAATTTGAATTAATTAGCTCAAAATTATATTATTTTTTTTGACAAATGTGATCAATATCTATTATCTTTAACAGCCAAATAGTTGATTGTCAACAATTGATCCTTTGACCATTAACTTTTTTTTTTTTTAAATTTTGTTAATTTAGTCAAAAGATGATTTACATAAAATTGCATGGTGATCTGTTCATCGATTTTAAATTAATAAAACTCACAAAAAATTAAAAGTATAAATAATTAAATAAAAAATAAAAATACATATTTTTAAATAAAAATAAAAATTTAAAATTAATTATTTCTATTAAATTCATGCTATATAATTATTAAATTGATCATATTAGAAATAAAGTAAAATATTTAGATATTGTATTAACTAAATTGTGATTAATATAAATTTTAAAATGTTTCTTGGCCCATTCATTGGTGATAACAGGCCAACTTGTCTTGGCCCATACATTAGAATTTGGAGCAGTGGCCACCGAACCAAGCCATGAGTCATTTGCCGTTGGCAGTAACGAGGGTTAGTCATGTCTGCTTTCAGTAGCCGCTATAACCTGTTTGCAAAGATTGAGGGACAGCTCAGGTATGGCTGGTGATTCCGAGAAACCATGCACAAATCCGTGTCTTGTGTACAAAATAAAAAGGACGCAATTTCCCTGTGAATAATTGAAGAAGTTCTTCAAAGGCTCTGCACCACCAAATCTGCCTTTCTCTGCTAATTTGTCTGCAAGAATTGGTACTCTCTAATTCCTGCAAGAATTGTTACTCACTTCTTTAATTATTTTGATTAAAAGGAAGTAGTCATGAGGGAATTAGTGACAGTTCAAGTTGGAGGTTTTGCAAATTTCATCGGCTCCCATTTCTGGAACTTCCAGGTAATCTTCCTTCCTCTCCCATTTTTCTACTTAAATTTTACTGGGCTCAAGTTTTCTCTTTTCCGTTAAAAAGGATGAGTTGCTTGGATTGGCTGGGGATCCTGACAGTGATCCGGTTTTCAAAAATCAAAACCAGTACGTCAATATGGACACTCTCTACCGCTCAGGTGAAACACACCAAGTAACTCCTTTTTTCTTTTTTCCATTTAATTTCTTCTATTTTAACTGTGTTTATTTGCAATTTTGTGCCATTTAATTGTAGTTATGGAGATATATTACTTATTGTTAAAAAATGTGCAGGGTGTTCAAACTTATACTCCTCGCTTACTCTCGATAGACTACCAAGGTACTACTTGATTTATCTTCAATGTTAAGAAGAAGTAGGAGTAGTAATTTTGCTTACCAACATTTTGCAAGTGCAGTGCAGACTTTAGTTCATTCTGATGATATATATATATATATATATATATCAAAATTGTAGGAGATTAGTTTTAGTGTAGATAGCTTATATGGTGTTTGTTTCTCGTAACTCTGATTAATAGAGAAGCTGTAGCCATCAGGTCTGATTAATTGGTACTGGGTGAATTGATTAGCTGGACTCTCTGACATTGCAGGGTCCCTTGGATCTATGAGTTCAAGTGGTGCGTTGTATAACGAGAGCTCATCGGCACCTTCGAATGTTTCCACATGGTGAGACTTTTAATATTTGATTTACACACTAAGAATTTGGCAGGCCTTCAAATCAATGACTAAAATTTTTGATGATTATATATTGATGTTTTGGCTAGATGGGTTTGCAGTGATTGTATCTTGTTTATTTTCCTTAGAAGTGGTGTCTAGGGCTTCAGTATAGAAATTTGTAATAAAAGTGACATGCATATATTGACTGCTTTGTTCATGATCAAATTTGCATTATGTTCAACAAGTATGTTTGTCATGGGATTTTTATTCACCACTGTTCCTTTTGTATAGCGATCTGTTTGCTAAACAAGTTGAGTTGGTTCAATTTAAAAATCAAATGAGATTGCCTAGCTTTATTTCCACAATGACCTCTTTCTGCAGTGACCATCACTCAAATGCAAGTGAAGTGCACTGCAAAATTTTGATCGGGGTTCCTATGGTTAATTCTTAGGCCTTGTTTACTTTCAATCCTACTGGAATGAGAAATGCATTCTTTGCTGTATCATCAGCTTTGTTGAAGATTATGCATGTGATCACATTCAAAATGAACAAGACTGCCTGGTAACTTCCTGAAATGAATATTTCATCATAAAGATCCATTCAAGTAGAATATATATCTTTTGTCCCTCAACTACGAGCTAGTTTGAAACAATGGATTAATTACTTTTAATGAATATGTCAACATGGTGTTGTATAACTGAAGTTTCATCACCTCTTTTTTTTTTTTTTTTTTTTTTTTTCAAGTTTATGGTTCTTAAAACTTGTCAAAACCAAAGGGCAAAAAAATTAGTTACTCATTGTTGTGAAACTTTTAAATTTAGGAAAAACCACATGAATTGCCAAGCCGTTTATTGCCCGTGAGTTCTACTGTGAGAGTTTTAGACACATGTGTTTATCCTGTTCTATCTTTCCCGCAAAATTTGGGTATAAAAATGAGTAAACGTCTAAGGATATCATGCAGGACTGGTAATTTTTCAACTTATGCATCTGAACCGTTAAAGAAGAATTTGTTCTTGCAAAGTTTGTATGAGGAAGAGCAGGAGAACTTGAGGCTCTCAAATGGTATAAGCAGCGGGAAGAACGATAATCCAACAGAAATTCAAGATCAGGACATAGTTGAATGTTTAGAAAATCATGTCCAGTATTGGACGGATTTCTCAAAAGTCCACTACCATCCTCAGAGTTTATACGAGTTAAATGGATTATGGATGAATAGTACAGAATTTGACAATTATGGAATTGGGAGGGATATTTTTTCTGGGGGTTTACGTGGAGAAGAAATAAGTGAGAGGCTTCGGTTTTTTGTAGAAGAGTGTGACCACATTCAGGTATATTTCCTTGCAAGAAGTTTTGACCTGTAGATTGTATTCTATAATTCCATCTGAACTCGAAAGTATATATATATTTTTTTGAACATTTTCTTTGAAAACAATGATTTTAGCATAGTTGATTGTCCTGCCTCTCAAGAATGGGATGGCTGCCAAGTCTTCCAACCTATCACGTAGTTGAATAGTGATTGTGCACCTGTTTCAATTTTGTGGCAAATGATGTAAAACTAAAAAAATATTTAAATAGAGAAGTTAGGCTATCTCTTGTAACCTCGGGGTATAGCTTGAAATTCTTAGTTGGAGCCTCCACTTCAACATAAACATTCTTTGATTCTAAATGCAATACGAGTTTTGATTTGATTGATATGCTGCTTTGCCTTGATGCTGAATCTTTGTTGTTCTTTACAGGGATTTCAATTCATTGTTGACGATTCAGGAGGTTTCTCTCCTATAGCTGCAGACTTTTTGGAGAGTATTGCAGATGAATATACGAATACACCAGTCTTACTTTATACTGTGAGGGCTCCTGGTTCTCATATGAACCCGACTAGCCGGAAGCAAAAAATTTCCAGGAGCCTTCATGATGCACTTTCTTTTTCAAGACTGTCATCCTTCTGTAAATTGATTGTGCCAGTTGGTTTGCCCTTATTAAGTACAAGTAAGCAGAATTGCATTTACATATTCTCTAGGCATTATCCATATTTAGTGCACTGTTTTGGCTTCCTTTTGATGCTCTGTTGTTTTATATATTGAATCTGAAGCTTTCTGCACAAATCAGATTTCTTTTCAATTATATACTTATGTTTGCATCAGTAAGCAATTTGTGGAGTTTTTTGGCTCTCAGACCAACAATTTGTTTGTTTGCATTATCTTCTCTTGATGTTGAAGGTAAAGCTTCCAAGTTCCTTTGCATTAAAGATGAGAAGCCTTACCACAGCAGTGCACTGTACGCTGCCGCTCTACACTCTATTAGTGTCCCTTTCCGAATGGAGCCACTTGGACCTGCTGCAGATTCTTATAATTTTTCTGGTGCTGTGGATGTGAATGGAGTTGTACAAATGTTAGCAGGGCAAGCTAGGCAAAATATGGTGACTATTCTGGATGCTGCAATGCCAGCACCTCCTATTACTGGTATTTGTCTAGTAATTTTGTTTTTCATCTCATGCCCTTACTTCTATCAATGATTATGGTTAATTGTTGAGGATTATAAATTTCAGGGAAACAGGTTGAACACTCTTTACTGGGGAATTTGCACCCATTAACACCAGAGATTGCAGAAGATTTGGAAGATATGCAAGCAGTGGAATCCATGAATGTTCATGGAGCTCTTGGATCAGGTACTGGTTGTAATTTGAGCATGTATCAAAAATAAGACAGTCTTAATTTTTTAATTCAAATGGTTTTGTCTCCAAGCTTATGTTGGGGTTTCTCTTACAAAAGTTTCCTTTTACGATCTTTGGGCTTCATATCTTCCTTGTTAGCTTTTACCTAACGGACATCATAAAGTTATACAAGTGTAACTTCTAATTGTTAAGAGTTCTTGGTAGTAATACTTTTTCCCATGCATTTGTGAAGTTGTATGGAGAAAATAGATTAGTGGAGGAAGTTTTTCTAAAATTAGAGACGGGGCCTTGTAGAAAGAATTATAAATAAAACCAAAGAGAAAAGTCATAGCTTTCCTGCTCTTCTTGTAATAGGTTCTCTTGCAATTTTCATGAGAGAGTTATATTATTGGTATTCCAATAATGAACTAATTTTGGTTCTCTTCCCTATCTGCTGCTTAGCAAGGATCCTGTATGCATGCTCTTAATTCATTGTATTTGTTCTGCAGGAGGTCACTATGCTTCCATTTCTGAAGTAACAGATTCAGTTAATGCTGTTTATGAAAACGCCTTATCGAGACCAAAGTTCTGTCATCTATCTGTCTCTCCTTGCCCTCTTCCAATACCATTGCCATTTCCTAAAATCTTTGGGAGCCTTGTTGGCCAACATGGTGAGCTCTTCAGCAGCCCGGTTCCAGGCTCTTCATCAAGGGGATCACTTGATGTCCATTCCATCCCCATGGCAACTAGACTACGGTCTAGCACAGCTGTCTTGCCATTTTTGGAGAATAGGTTGGCAAATCTTCGTAGACTTGGAATTCAGCAAGGAGCACCAGGGACTGAGTTGTTTACAAGCTGGGGTTTTGGGAAGGATGAATTAGAAGACATGGAAGAGACGCTATCTAAAATGGTTACAACACTCGACGACCGTGCTCAACTATCCTCTGACTCAGATTAAGTTTATGAGAATGTAACCAAAAGGTTTTTGTTTCTTCATCATCGTCTCCTTGTTGGCCCCCCTCTCCATTGTAAAGTTATCTATGATCATGGTTTTGTAGCAGTTTGGGCTAATGAGGATAAATTGCATCGTTAGTCATCATATTGTGATATTTATCAATTTATTTATTTATTTTCGTTTTAATCTCTGCCCAGTCCATTGCATGACTTCAGTTCAAACTGTCCTGTGGGGTAGTTGAAAAATGTCACGTGGTAGTTTAGTTTATTTTGGAAGCATCGGTTTTCTATACGCTTAGATGATAATGACTGTGGACATTAAAAAATGAAAATCAAAATTTAGGCATTGAAATAAAAGAAAATTTAAACATTGAAATAAAGGAATTTATGATTGGGCTTTGAAATAGGGAAAAAAAAAAATCAAAAGTTAGGGATCAGTTTTCTTATAGAATATTTATATATAAGAAGTATTATCTTTCATGTTTGTTAACTACCTTCTTAGATATAATGTTTTCGTTATAGTTTCCACTGTCAAATATAAAATAGATTATAATATACTCAGAATAAACAACTGCGAGGGAAAAATTGTTTAATCAAAGTTCTGCATATTCAATAAATAATAAATGAGGTCAGAAATCGTCTATTGATAATGTGTTCTTCCCTCGCTCATGATTGGTCTCAAAATATTGAGTGCTGGAATGGATGGGTAAAGATCTTGCACAAGAAGAAAAGTTTTTCTAAATTTGAAAGATCCTCCAATAACTAAATCAGCACTTGAACAGATATAATGCTATAGAGGTAGTAAGCCATGCAGATTGTTTTGTGCATCTTTTTTCCAAACCAAAAAAAAAGGGTATTGACATAGACGGAACCAAGGAAGAGAAAGAAGACCTCTTAGGCTCTTACCTTCGAGCTTAAGGTTGTATATGTTGCCTTAAGCTCACGTGAGAGCCATGGTGAGACAGGGGTAATTGAGACAATTTCCTTGACGTCTCTAGTTTTGGACTACTAGAGGAAAGAGGTCGTCCAGTAAGCCTTCGAAGTAGTTGAGTTGAGTGCATGTGTAAAGTGTAACACACACACACACATATATATAGAGTAGCGGACGCGAGGATCAAATGTTCACGGGACTAAATTAAAATTTTGAAAATTTATCATGTTTTACATAAATTTATATATATTATAAATAACATAACGACATATATTTTAAAATAATCTTAAAATACAATCATTCATAATGGAGATTTTCGTTCTTTCAAGTCACGAAAATCATCTATAAGCGAATCCATAGTAAAATTTTCAATAATTTCTTTTTCAATATACACTAACAAATAATCGAAAAGAAAGTCATATTCCATCTTGTTACGAAGCTTAGTCTTAACTATGCTCATAGCTGAAAAAGATTGTTCCGTTGTATTTGTAGAAGCTGAAAGAGCGAGGATAAGTGTTATCACTCTATACACAAGTGGATAAGTTTCAAATTTTCTTATCTTCATCGACCATTGACATAAATCGGATATAGTTGACAAAGCTTCGAAATCGAAAGATTCCGTACATGATCAAAATGCTCAAATTGCATCCTTAATTGCAGCATTTCATGATCGGCGAAGTCTTGAGGGTAAAATTTCTGCATTAACTTACAAATGTCATCAATTCTAAATGATATGCGCATCTCTCTAGGATCTAAAGCCGAACTAAGAATGAGTAGCTCTATCGTGTTATCATTGAACCTATTATTCAACTTTTGCAATTGAGAATCTATCACAACATTGAATATATCAACTTTGTAATCATGCTCAATCGTAAATGCATCTTCTTGATGATGAGCCCTTCATTTTCTTGTAACATAATGAGCACTCGAGTCTAGTATGGGTATGTTGACTCGCTTCACAAAAAGATTTTACTTTTGAAATTAATTCATCCTATCCTTCATCTCTTAATTTTTGAATGAGTAACTTAGTTGAAGAAACTAGATGCATTGCATTCAAAATATCCCGAGATTGAAGTTGTAAAGTTTGACAAAGTAAATAAGATATCTCTAAAATTTTTCTCATTAGATGCATAATGAAAACAAATTCAAAAGAAGTTAATCCCTCATAAGTTGTATCCGCATCTCTACGCCGAGAAGTTGTAGCTCCATCTTCAATAATATTCAATAAAATTTCACAAGTTGCACTAAACATATTCATCAAGCTAGAAATAAATTTTAAATGAGAACTCCAATGAGTATCCCTAGACCTTTGTAAACTATCAACTTGATTAAGCCTTCTCCCACTTTCAAGTTCACCAATGGAAAGTAAATAAGCAATATTTGCGGTATGAAGCGACTTTTGATTGATCATTACGCTTACATGAAGTGCCAACGATATTAATAGAGTTCAATTTGATGAAAAATGATGGATAAGGATAACTTCCTTTGATGCGACAACTAATGCCAACCGCAAACGATGAGCCAAACAATGAACATAGTATGCAAAAGGGCATTCATTTGAAATCGAGCTTGTACCCCATTCCGTTCCCCTCACATATTGCTTACACCATCATAACCCCGTCCTCCGATATTCCGAACATCAAGACTATAACGAGAGAGAACATAAAATATTCCTTCTTTTAATGTTAATGTAATAGTGTCTTTTACATGAACAAGCCTAAAAAATCACTCTCGCACATATCCATTTTTGTCAACAAATCTTAATACAATAGCCATTTGCTCCTTTTTAGACTCATCTCGAGCTTCGAGCAATAATTATACAAAATTTTGCATCACTAATTTCTTCACGAGATGACATTCTTGACTTTAGTTGCCAAGACTTGCAAAATTTCCTTTTGCACTCTTGGTGATGTGTATGAGGCATTTTGTAGAGCTTTACTCAATACTTCGTTACCTTGTCATTGTAAGATGCCACAAAACTCAATAGTTCAAGAAAATTTCCACGATTCATCGATGTTTTGGTCTCATCATGACCTCTAAATGCACATCCTTGAAATAGAAGCCACTTAGTTACATTAATTGAAGCTTTTAATCGAAGTCAATTATTTATAATTTATTGAGAAGTAAATTTCACAAACTTTTTCTCAATATGCAAAGGTTGATTCATGAGATCCCGACATGCTTTCTCGGCATTTATGTGAGGAGAAGTGGGATCTTTTCCATAATGCGCTAAGAATGCACAATTTTTACCATCTCTAACTTTCTTCCATGATCGAAATCCTTTAACAGGTAAATGCATTTGATCCAAAAGATCCATTTGGTGTGTGAAATAAATAGCATAATAGATAAAATACAACATCTTTGGTTGGAGAATATTCTAGCCATGATGAAAATAATTTAAACCATGATGCTTGAAAACTACGAGGATGCTTTTCTCTAGATTTTAGGTAATTTAAAAGCATATGCCGATATGGACCAGACATTAATATAGGCTCTTCAAACTTCATCACGTTTGTCGGTAGGATACTCCCATATTTGTGATCGTAATCTCGGATCACGTTCCAATGAATTGATATCAAATCCTTATTTGATTTCAACTCTCCGAGATTTTGTATGAGGATTTTCAAAATTCAAAGGATCATGATCAATAGAAGAATTTGACTTCTCATTAGAGTTTGAAACGACAACATTCTTTCTTTTAAATAATGCATCGATGGTATGTGACTTTTTCATCTATAACAAAAATAAATTACAAATACGAATATGCAATAATTTCTAAAGTGCACTATGTAATAAATTACAAATTCACTTAAAATGCAAATAAGATATTCAAATTTTCAAGTAAAACACATAAATAGACCATCACCCGAGTCAACTAGGAGCCACCCTCCATGCTTACTAGTATACGTACTTAAAAATATCAAAGATTATAATAGCATTAGCCACTTCACTAATAAGTTGTGAATATTTCAAAATAATCACTTTAGTAATATAAAACCTATAAAATATAAATAAGAAAAATTGTTATTATAAACAAACAAATAATTGAAAATCTAGTATATTAATCGAGATTAGATAAAATACATGTTGTGTTATCGAATAAGAAAAATTCAGATAAAAAAAAAGTTTTGGTGTTTTGAATAGAGAAAGAGTTAAGAAAAAGGGAAGAAGGAACAAATTTAGTAGTGGTAGGAGATAACTAGGATCAAATTAAATAAATATTAAAGGTTTAGTTGTGTCTTGTGAGGAAACTAAAGCTAAAGGTTAAAAAATATTAAAGAGGGTTGGGTTTGTCTTACTCTAATATAGGAAAAAATAAAAATAAAAATAAAAAAGAACTGAAGTCATGCTTGTTTTGTGTTAAGTGGCGGTAGAAGTGCTATTTGGGTTTGACTTATTTATTAAAATTAAAAAATATGACTCATATAGATGGAGTGAGGATTTGATGATCGAGTGGAATGCGGGATGATCCTCTCGCATTGGATACATGTAAAATAATCCTTTTAGTTGAGTGAGGAATCCTCTAAAGATCAAATTAGTGGTTGAAAGATAATGAATTGATAAAAATATTTAACTCGTATGGGAATAGCTTGTAGATAAAAGATAATAACACATGAATTAGAATTTGTTTTGCAATTGTTTCAAAATGAGAAGTTAGACACTTTTTTATTTGATGGTTTGAGCCTTTATATAAGTAATTGTGGATGTCACTTGTATTCTGAGAAAAACATAAGTGTTCATTTCTTTTAGTATTAGTGGCTGAACTGACAAATGATAGTACACTGTTATCGTTGTATCTGACCTGCGACGATATTAGTGTGATTGTGATGAATGGTGAATTGATTGACATTATCATTAAGAATTTTCATTAAATGTTTTATCGTTCTTGGTGACAGTGGAGGAAAGTGTGCCCTCTTTTTTTGGTCGGGACACTTTAGGATAAAAGGGTTCCCAAACGTTTGTTGAAGAGTGACTCGTTTTGAATGGGGTAGATGTCCTTCGACGACTTTGGACTCGTCTGATAGGTTATTTCCCTATACTATGATTTATAGGTCTGAGTTGGGTTTGATGGA